TTTCTTTTGCTACTTTCAATAAAAAAACTATTAAATCTATACATACAATAAAATTCTAACCAGGCCGAATCTGTACATTAAATATTTTTTGGAAAATCTTATTGAAATAGTCATTATTATCGATACGGAGGCCGAATCTATAGTTTAGAATTTTTGTCTGTCTGTCTGTCTGTTACCGCATCACGAGTAAACTACTAGACAGATTTTGATGAAATTTGATATGGTCATAGCTAGTTATCAACATATATAATACTTTTTACCACGGGAAAATGTCTCATTTCTGAGAAAAAATACAAAAAATGCAATGTAAGTGTACACTAATATGTAAAACCTAAGAATTTGGTTTTTGGTCATCTGAACGCGGGCGGAGCCGCGGGCAACGCTAGTTTATGATAATTTTATATTTAAGCTTCAAGTCGCGTGATCAGAAAAGTTATTCCGTTTTATTTTATTTTCCATCAGCTCTTATATGTCGATTGTAGAAACATAACTTGTCTTAGGAAAAGTAAAAGCCATCTCGTGTTTCTATAAACCGATAATAAGCTTTAAGTGATAAAACTTTAAATTATTTATTAAGTTTAAAAAAAAAACTCTGTCTATTGTTAAACATAATTTTATAACCAATACGAATGTTTACATAACACGTTCCCCATTATTCATCTTCGTTCCGCCTGCGTTCTCACAATCTCTAACAGTGATTCACACTCGTAGTTTCAAGGGTTCATATGCATGCCTTATCTCTGACACGGGCGTTGTAATCTTAACCCAGAGCTTTTACCACGAGATTTCCTACGCTATATCCATCGTTAAACTTTCTCGCACATTGCGTGCTTTAAATCTTACTAGTAACACATAAAATGTACCGTCGGCAATGTATACTGAAATATCTTGTTAAGGTAATATTACCGTCATAACTGGTTTTATTTTAAACGAAGTAGGAGCATTGTCTACCTGAATATTACGTCGTGTTTTGGCTTCATACTGTAATTTCAATATTTGCCCAAGAGCTAAAATTACTTTGAGATATTTACTTCACAAATAAATATTTTACACACGTTTGCAACATAGTTATATTAACTTCAAAAGAATTTTCTAATTTAATACCACAGGAATTTTAAGTATTTGTATGAACATTCATCATATTTTAAAATTTATTTAACACTAGCGACTCACCCTCTCTTCGCTTGGGTTCGTCAATAGGTCTCATATAAACTTTCATCCCCATGTTCACCCCTTTAAGGAATGATTTCCGGAATAAAAAATATGCTATGTCCTTTCCAGAGTATCAAACTGTCTTCTTACCAAATTTCTTCTAAATCTAGTGGTTTTTGAGTTAATTCGTTACAAACATACAAAAACACAAATCTTTCCACTTTATAAAATTAGTGCAGACGTAGATGTAGAAAAGCGATTTTATTATGAATGAAACTAAAATAACACTTAAGCTTTTTCATAAAAAGATCACTCGAAAAGTTAAATTCGCTCGAGGAAACTGATGAAAATATTTCAGTTCACAAATAAAAGAACGAAGTGGACAGTCGGACGGACCTTGCTAAGGCAAAATTCAAGTTGGAGGATTCAACAATTCTAGAAAAGTATTCCCGTTGGATTTTCTAAGCACTTGACACGTTACACTCGAGACGCTTACACAATCGTGTTATAACAATGGCTTCTACAAACCACATACGATCTGACTATTCACGTCTGCTGACCGAAAGATTTATCAAAATGTGAGGTTCACATCGTTAGTGAATACTGAGTAAGAGCTCTCAGGATCGTTCACGGTATTGTAGTAATTTTCGCGTGTATAGTGTCATTGTTATTATTGTGGGGTTTGTGTTTTTTATTTTCTTATTTATTTACCATAAATAAACCGCAAAAAATAATAATAAACATATGAAAACAGATATCTAGTGTACAAAAGGTGACTTATCTCTTAATGTTAATCTACAACAATAAAAAAAACAAAAATCAATATAAATCCGCGAAATAATCAGAAAAGATAGTTTTATTAAAGATTCGACTCAGAATTCTATGATATTATGTATAGATTTTTTTTATGACATTTAAAGCACTACATTTGTGTAGCTTAAATAGGCATATATTAGACTAGCATTGCCCGTGGCTCCGCCCGCATTCAGATTACCAAAAACCAAATTCTTAGGTTTTACATATTAGTATACTCTTACATTGCAGTTTTTGTATTTTTTCTCAGAAATGAGACATTTTCTCGCGGTAAAAAGTATTCTATATGTTGACCCGGATAACCAGCTATCACCATACCAAATTTCATTAAAATCCTTCCAGTGGTTTTTCCGTGATGCGATAACAGACAGACACACAGACACACACAAAAATGCTAAAAACTATAGATTCAGCCTCTGTATCGATAATAATTTCTATTTTAATAAGATTTTCCAAAAAATATTTAATGATTCGGCTTAGTTACAATTTTATTATATGTATGGATAGGATTTAATTAACTTATGAGGACACGTTAAAAATACCTTCAATTAATAGAGTACCAACATATCCTCTCTAGCAACACGAAAATGCTTTTAAGTATGAAGCATATATACAATACAAAACCTTGGTCATGTCATTCGTAAAAATAATTACCGAATTTCATACTTAACCTAAGTTAATTGATATTTAAGTGCATTTTTATATTACCGAATTTTCACTACTGTCGAAGAACTATAATATTATTTTAATATATCATTAATGTATTAGTTTGACACGTTTGGCTCAGTTTGTAGTAGCCCTATTGGCTGTGCCAGCCGTCGCGGGTTCGAATCCCGCTGGGGACATTCATTTATGTGATGAGCACGAGTGTTTGTCCTCCAGTCATGGATATTTACATTTATAATATCTATGTATTAATGTATTTAAAGTTATATGTGTAGTTTATCTACTATCTGGTATTCATAACACAAGCCTCGTAGCTTACCATGGAACTAGATGGTACTGTGTGTTTATGTCCCAACATATTTATTAATATTTTATTAGTTATTTATTATTTACTTTTGATGTTTTCCAATTCTTGATTTATTACATTTTTTCTCACTAAAAAATATTTTACCGTGACGTTGATCAATTGTCAGTACAATCACGTAGTTGACAAACGTTCAGAAATATTCTTTCATGAATTTATCATCGGACACTCAATCTATTTCCACTTTGTCACTTCGAATGTTCATTGATGAAATTTTAAGTAAAGCCCAAATTTTTAGGTCGCGTTCTCTTTTAAGTAGGGCCAAGAACGAATTTAAATAAGCTTTCAAAAACATTGAGTTTGGGAATTGCATAAATATTAATGTGAGACTCATGGTTCAGGATTAGATATGCGTTATATTTGACTATAAACTAGAAAACTTTGGTATTCAGGATGTACGTCTGTTGGGATTAAGACTGAAATATGTCTTGAAGGACGTAATTTGACTTAATGGTTTGAAAATGTTATCTATATTGCTATTTACTATTTGTATCGTTTTACCCTTTTATTTTTGATTTTATGTCGATTTTGTATTATTTTTATTTTATCAGAAATAAAATTTCATAATATAATAAGCACATACATAATATTGTAAATTTTATTATCGATATTAATAACACTTTAAAAATGTATATTCGACTCGGACGTACATATATAACATATATTGCACATAAGTTATTATACAAAATTTAGATTTTCGCGAATATATGACATCTATACAGATAAATAAAATTGAAATGTCAGTAATGTCAAAATAACAGCTTTTTACTAAATTTATATTAAATTATATGCGGTAGTTTTAAGAAAAACACATTTTTTTATTTTTATTTTTCTGTCCGTTTGTTTGTTCCGGCTAATCTCCGAATCAGCTGGACTGATTTTGACGAGACTTTCACTGGTAGATAGCTGATGTTATAAGGAGTAACTTAGGCTACTTATATTTTAGGAAATAATTAAGATCCCGTTAAAAAAAATAAAACGCAGCCAGCAACGAACCCGAGCGAAGCGAGGGTAAGTCGCTAATTTTAAATAAAACTATCTTTTAGGATTTCTTCGCGGATATATTTTATTTAAAAAATAACACAAAAATAACACAACAAAAGTTCCCAACGTTTCGAATGCTTTACAGAATGTCTTTTTTGTGGGTGCTAGATGCTCTCTGTTGCTATACCTTATGGAGTTACAAAGTTTATATTCATGTTATTATTTTCATATCAATATGCAAATTAGAGGCATACTCGTATATGATTCATTTACTGATTATAATAATTATGAATCATCTATCATCAAATGACTGAATTAGATTATTATTAAACTGTTTATTATCTATCTAGGCAAATCTGGATGTCGTGTTGACGTCAATATTGGATTTTCCTATTATTATTGACACTTCCATTAACGCGCTGTCAGTCACATGGAGGTGTTTTTGTTTACACGAAACACAGCATTTGAAATCACAGTTGTTTATCAAATACGCCCTTCTTACCTAGTTTGTGATTTATGGATTTTTCAATTCGATTTTTTTTAATTTATGTTATAATATATATTCAGACCTATTTTTAACATCCCACTTCTAGGCACGAGCCTCCTTCAGTATGAGGGGAGAGACCATACGCTGGTCAAGTGCGGATTGGCGGACGTCACATGTCTTTCGAAAAGTTGCTAGGTTCTCTCAAACATACAGGTTTCCTCACGATGTTTTCCTTCACGGTAAGACAAGTGTTAATCATGTTGAAAATTCGCACATGAAAATATCAGAGGTGCGAGACCCGGGATTTGAAACCGTTCATTCGGTTTCCCAAGTGAGCGGGTTACCACTGGGCTACCACTGTCTTTATAATATAAATTTAATTATATATTGTTCTAATTTTATAATTAACATCAAAATAGCTGTAGATATATAAGTATCCAATATAACAATAAAAAAGAAAACGAAGTTGAATCGAAACTTGTCGAAAAATTCAAACAAAGTTCAAAATAAACAAGGAATTTTATTTTGTTACAGGACTTACCGCGGTGAAGATAGTGAAAGTTGTTGTACCAGAAATTATTCAGTATGGTGTTCAAGACGCTGTTGTATTAGACTGTGATTATACGTATGGAAACAATACTTCGGGGTTGGTTGTGAAATGGTTCTTTAAGAACAAAGCAAGACCTGTGTACCAATGGATTGCTACACAGAAGCCGCAGGATATGGGTATATTACGAGGTCGAGTCGACTTGACGTATCGAGCGTCAAACGACCCATTAAAAATGCATAGGGCGCTGCGTATAGTGAAACCAAATACAGACATTTCGGGTGACTATACCTGTGTTGTGTCGACTTTCATGGAGGAGGACTCGAGGACGAAACAGATGATTGTTTTTGGTGAGTGCTCGTTTTGTATTATATATATATATATATATATATATATATATATATAATATATAATAGTTTGTACAAATAGATTTACAAACAAATCTCGTTTTATAATCCTCTTAGCCTATAATCCTATATAAATATTATACATGCGAAAATTTGGATGGATGAATAGATGTTTGTTTGTTACTCAATCACGCCAGAACGGCTGAACGGATCTGGATGAAGTTTGGTACAGAGATAGACTATAGTTTGAAATAGCATATAGGTTTAGTATAGATGTACAGTTCCCGTGGGATAGATTTGTTTTGGTTTTTCATATATGTCATAAAAATGTCAATGATTGAAATATACCTCTACATATAAAAAGTTATACCTACATATGTAAACATTATATGGAAATAGAAAATTGAGCCATACTATATGCCATTCACGAAAGCGATCTAGGAAATCGATAGAAACAACATGTAACACGAGTATGTAACACCGAATTTCATATTTGGGGTCGGTTCCTCGTAAAACGCTTACGTCGCACATGACACGTTCTACCGTCAGTTAGTGATGGCGCTTGGTTTAAGTCATAAAACCATGTTATATTATTTAATTTTAGTTATTTTTGTGATGGCACTACTGTTACATTACGAAAGTTTGTATGTGTTTAGTATATTATATCTATACTAATATTATAAAGAGGTAAAGTTTATGAGCTTATAAGTTTGTGAGTTTGTGACGTTGTAGGGGGTAATCTCTGGATCTACGATACCGATTTAGATGAAATTTGGTAAGAAGATAGTTTGAGACCCTGGGAAGGACATAGAATACTTTTTACCTCGGAAATCATCTATTAAGGGGGTGAAAATGGGAATGAACGTTTGTATGGGGAAGCAAATTAGGGACGAACCCGAGCGAAGCGAGGGTGACTCGCTAGTATATATATTATATATACTAGCAGAACGCTCGGCTTCGCTCGCGCTAAAACTATAAAAAAAGACTCCAAGAAGGTAGGTAGGTTTCATACAAACTTTTATCCCCTATTTTGCCCCAACATGAGATGAACTTCGAAAAATGTTAAACATGTATTTATTTAATTGTATTGAGCATTAATACCAAGTTTCAAGTAATACTAATCATAAATATTTTTGGGCTGTATTATAATTTGTTTTGCCCGTGGCAAAGAGATAATCTCCCGCAATAAATAGCCTATGTCACTGTCCAGCCCTTCAACTATTTCCACATAAAATATCACGCCAATTCGTCACTCAGTTTCGACGTGAAAGAAGGGCAAACAAACGCACTTTCACATTTATAATATAAGTATGGCTTATATTCGTTACTCATGAACGGTTGGATCCATTTGAATCAAATTTAATACATATTGCATAGACTAAGATCTGAAGTAATAATATAGGCTACTGCTAGGCATCTGGACATGCGAGCGAAGCAAGGGTAAGACGCTAGTAATTAATAAAAAACTTTTAAAAAATAAATAAAAATCGACTTTCTGGCACTAAAATGTAAATAATAACTAAATGGGGGTTTTCATTTAGAATAGATACCTAATCAGATATTTTCGAAGTCGGTGCCAGCCGGATTTCGATAAAATTTATATGGGACCATCTGGGAAGTAAACCCTTTGAAACAAAAAAATATCCAAATCGGTTAAGGCGTCTTCGAGTACTCGGTGAACATACAAAAAAAAACGATTCCGACGAATTGAGAACCTCCTCCTTTTTGAAAGTCGGTTAAAAATATCCTGAATTTTTGAAAGCTTAACAAACCATTAAAAGCAAGTAGACAGAATTTTTAAATTACAGAATTTTTATAGTTCTATAGGCAAATTAAAGCTTAAATATTGAAGGTATATTAACTTCATACAATAAATGTGTTTATAAGGAGCTTTTAGTTTTCACTCTAACTTACGAACACTAATATGAATAAATGTTAGGTTGGTGAGACTATAATACTAAATGATATGTACATTTAAATTCATCTTGTTTTCTAACATTTGTTCAATAAAGCTAGTCTTTGCCTGTGTCCCCGCTCACCTGGAACGTATATTGACAAAAAATATGGAAATAAGTATAGAGATAAATATAGAGATATAAGCTATATGCATTCATTCATTCACTCAAAATCATTGAGCTGTTACAGCGTTAAAAAGTAACAAACTAACACACAAACGCATTTCAATATTAATCTGATAATTCTTGTAAAGAACTTATTTTGTATGTTAAAAATATGTCTAAAAACCATTTTTTTTCCTTTTGATTATAAAGCGTAAAGCTTTCCTGTTTTTGAAGGAACTAAGCAAGAATAGTAACATCTGTTATCCGCTTATATCTTTTTGCACCGGTCATATGGTTTCAGTATATCGGAACAAACTGCATATCGTCATCAGCATCAAGCATCTATGTACATTATAATCCCGCTTCCATTTTTAGAGAAAACTAAGATTTTTTTAATGATTTTTTATGACTTCAAATTAAAACTTTCCCAATTAATTCATAAATTAGTAAAACAAAATACTGGAATCAAAGAGCTAAAATTTGGACAACTTATTAATATGATATAAAAATGCTATTTTTTTTTTGATGTTTTACACCAATTTACGACTGATATCCTAACGCTTAATATTATAAACGCGAAAGTTTGTAAGATTGTGTGTATGGATGTATGTTTGTTACTCTTTCACGCATAATCTACTGAATGGATTTTGATGAAATTTTACAACAATATAGCTCATACATCAGAATAACACATATATTACTTTTTGTTCCGGAAAAATGTACGGTTCCCGTGGGATAGGCTTGTTTTTGTTTTCCTAAAGGCGAACCCGAGCGAAGCGTGGGCGAGCCTCTAGTATGAACATAAATAATTGTATGTATTTATCGTATTATTTATTTTACATGTATCATCAACAAGAGAATTGAATTAAATTAAAAAAAACCTCTGGTCTCTCAAACTAAATCGAGGTGATCTTAGATTAATGGCAGTCTTAGAAATCAGTGGGTTACAGTTACGTACTATGAGGCAATCAATTTATCATATAACGGCTTACCGTTCGATACAACGTAATGTAACTGGCGGCCATCGGTTAGAGCGCGGGGTAAAGCGAAAACGGGTCACCATGTTATTATGAAAAAAATATTTTCTGGGTCAAAATTAAGAATAAAAGCAAAAAATCTTAATTATATTATAAAACATAAATAAATGGTGAATTATGAATATGGTTCCCTTTCACTGTATCTGAATGGAAAATGTGTGGAAATAAAATAGCACAAATGTAGTAAGCTAAACAACCATCTCTAATAGTAAAGTAATTGTGTTGATACTAAGTTATTTTGGCGGCCGTTTAGAATTGGGGACTTGGCCCCTAGCGGAGTGGGTGGTATTTCTGGATAAGGGACGTGATAGGGAGTCGAAATGTTAAATAAATTTTTTAATACAACAAAAGAGTCAAAAGTTATTGAGACTTAAAGTTATAACATTTCCATACATTATTTTGACATTACTACCATTTAGACACTTGGAGTCAAAACGTCACTTTCAATTGTCAAAATGATCTCCAGATGATTGTCTTTATTTGTACTTTGCGTGAAATTCGAATTTTCTAGTTTTCTAGTCATTTATGGCACTCGCCGGCCGCTACCGCGGCACGCTCGCTTCGCTCGCTCGGCTCGTGCGTTGTGGCAACTGTTCTAACCTAACCTAACCAAGATATGACGAATAATTAATAAATAATCTTAAATGTTCTAACCTAACCTAACCCAGATATGAGGAATAATAAATAAATAATCTTAAATGTTCTAACCTAACCTAACCCAGATATGAGGAATAATAAATAAATAATCTTAAATGTTCTAACCTAACCTAACCAAGATATGACGAATAATTAATAAATAATCTTAAATGTTCTAACCTAACCTAACCCAGATATGAGGAATAATAAATAAATAATCTTAAATGTTCTAACCTAACCTAACCCAGATATGACGAATAATAAATAAATAATTAAAAATATTCACAGATAAAAAAATGATTTTTTTTACTAAATGTACAATTGTAAAACAATATATTTTACATAAATCAAATAAAAAGTTATAAATGTATTTATAAAGTGAAAATAATATTTTTCTTTTTATTTATTTATTTATTAATATTAATATTTTACCAACAGAAAAAGCAAAAATAATCAAATATAATCTGTTGTCATTTAAGCGGTAATATAAAACAAAGTGTCAGTTTTGCTTTTGTCAAAATGTAAGATCATTTTGTTTGTGTTGTGAAATTATTAAAATATTAAATACAATAAAGCATTAATTGTTGTGAAAATGTGTAATGTACATAAAAAAGGATGCGTACTATTCGTTAAAGGTATGTTTATCTGTTGTAATCACTTATTTAGGTAAAGAAATGTATGGAAATGTGTTAGATATGTTATAACTTTAAGTCTCAATAACTTTTTAGTCGTACGTTTCCTCCAAATATTTTTAATATATTTTGACTCTCTGTCACCTCCCCTATCTAAAAATACCACCCACTCCGAATGGTGGTAAAAAAATATATGAAAATGTATGGAAATGTTGTAACTTTAAGTCTCAATAACTTTTGAATCTTTTGTTGTATTAAAAAATTTATTTAACATTTCGACTCCCTATCACGTCCCTTATCCAGAAATACCACCCACTCCGCTAGGGGCCAAGTCCCCAATTCTGAATTTGTGCCGTTATTTTAAGCATGACATCATCTAAATTCCATCCAGGTAAATTTCTAAGAAATCTATTGTTAACTGACACGCCGGCGTGTCCACGGTCGTGGAGGGATTAAAATAGTTAACATTGTTAATAGTCAATTTTTATTGGATTTCGTCGAGCTTTTGCCCACAGTTCAGCTCGCGTAGTTTTTATTTTGATAATAATTAATCGATCGTATGACCTATAGGATGATGTTAAATAAAGCCTAGCCTAGAGCCTAACTTACAAATATGAAATGCCTATTTTTTATACTAA